AATCATCCCGTTTTTTAAGTTTAGTCAATCCCTTTTTGACCATGATAAAGAAAAACGCCTTGTATTTCAATTTTGGTTTTTCAATTTTAAAACGAAAATCAAATATCCAGTCGTTTTTTGTTTTTGAATATCCATTTGTGAAAAGAAAATCCAATGACCAAGACATACACTGACCCATTCCCTGTGAGGCCTTCTGAATCTCAATTGTATCTATAGTGCGGGATTGGGTAACTCAAATATTTGTATTTAAATGTCACTACAGGCACAAACCACAGTGGAGAAATATAGGAAAAATTCAACATGTTACTCGAATGTAAAAAATATTCTCATCATAGTATACATTCCAATCACATTACCAAAAGTACTAATCTTTCCCAGAATTTGTCATTTCAGAAGCTTTATTTATTATATAACTAGAATGTATGACTATAATAACACATCCTTCTTCAGTATTTTAATATATATATATTTTTAATAATGTGAAGCTGAGAAGTAATTGGTAACTGATGTTGTCAGATAAAAACAGAGGAGTAAAAACTGTAGAGTAAAGTTGCGTTAAATGATAATATTCCAGGACGATTACTTCAGTAAATGCGACACTGATCTCTCAAAAGTCTCGAAAGAAAGACCAGCACCGACCTCAGACCCCATCCAAAAAAACAAATCTTTGACGTTTAGAGCTACAGAAAGATGACTTTTTTGTAAAACCTCCAGATGTTGCACTTTTCACCCGCACCTTGAAGAGATGTATGGCATTTAGGTGCGTTTAAAGTAAACAGTTACTTCAAAGTGAAATCTGATTTGCATTCAACTTCTCTTTATGAATGTGTCCCCTCAAACTGCTTATAAATAGTTTGTGGCCTCTCTTACTCTCCTAGACGAACAATGAGCTAAACCTGAAAATGAGAAGAAAAAGCAAAAGCTATTTTTGATTGTAATCACAACAAACAGTAAAGTAGAAGAAACAGGGAGTAAAACAACTCAGTAGCTGGCATCAGAGCCTGTGGTTTGTAGTGCGGTGGGAGTGTAACTGTACATTTGACTCTTCGCTGTGACAGCAGATCAATGCAGCCTGGAGCACAGATAGACATTAATTGATTGTCGCCAATAAAACTCCAATTAAACAAAGGAGCAGGCCTGGGAGAGAGCTGTGAGACAAGCAGCTCTCATTTTCTCATCAGTCCTCAGGGGGGAAGGATGGGAGGCAGGAGAGGATGTGGGCTGGGGGAGCCGATGAGCTCCTTTTGCTCTGAATACTCTCGCCATCAAGGAATTGTAGAAGTTGTGGATAAAGGTGAGAGAGCGTGCTGCTGACTGAGGATCAGATACCCGATAGACAGCGAGAGTGTGAAAGAAAGGGAGAGCAGGGGTGCTGCCATTGATCCAAAGCGTCCCTTAATGATGAAAAAGAGATCTTAATTGTGGCGGCATGTCATATATCAGGTTTCAGCAGTCAATTCTAGAGCTCGTCTGACCTTCTCTTATTTAATAAGTGAGTGCCCTTCATGGCACAGTCTTTCACTTCCTCTTTATAAACCCTTCTCTATCTGCCAGTATGTGCGTCTTCTTGTTCTGTCACTCGGTCTGAGCCACACTCATGACTGAACAATCTCTACATTTCATTCCTGCATGTACTTCCAGGTATGTGATAGGCCTCCCACCTAAGCAGCAACTAAAGATGCTTTTTTTACTCATATGCTCCTCCAAATGAAGTTAAAGATGATTAATGTGCGCCATTCCTAGAAAATGTACAAGATCTTCCCACTCTCCCTTCTCCTCATCTCACTTCTCCGCTAATAACATTTTCTTCACTATCTCCCTCTATCTCCCGAACTCTGTAATCTGATTGTTCTTTCTATGATTGTGCTGTTATTGAGTTGCCTGTTTCATACATATGTATAAGTCCACCACAATACTTATTCCATCTTCTGCTTCCGCCCCCCCAGCATCCGAGCCAACAGGAATCTCAGACATAAATGGAGGAAACACTAATGTGGTGTTGACACATGTAGAGCTTCACTATCTGGGGACATTGCCGGTTGGGAGCCCAAAATAACCACAAGCGGAAACAAAAAGTTTCACCCAAGTCAAGTTTTCTCTAAACTTTTACAACTTTACTACTTTTAATGTATTTCTATTGTGCTTATTGAGTTCAAAGTTACACCATCCTGATATGGTTTTTCATTTATAAAAGGAGGTATTTCAGCAAGACTCAGCGCTGTTGCTTTATGTTTAATTTGATAATAGAGAAATCTGTGGTGCTGTGCAGCTTCTTTAGGGAGCAAAACCTTTATCTCATCATGTTCAGATTGAGATTATAAACCATGCAAGTGGCATAGCTCGAGGGAATGTAATCCGGTCAGTCCATACTGAAATAAAGCTCCAGATATTGAGTTGTCATGAAAATTGGTTCAAACATTCATAGAGCCCACTTTTGTAGTTATGAGTAAAATCTCTCAATTATTGGATTTATTGCAGTACAATCTTGTACATTTGAGTGGATCATTTTGGATTTGAATACATTTGTAATCCCTTTTAAGTAGAGCCATTATAAACCTTGGTTCGTGAAAAAGATCCTTGCAATATATTATCCTATTGAACATAACTTGTCTTTTTTGTTGCTGAATGTATCATTCACTCAAAACACCACTTTCCCTGCACTTTAATACAGCTCACAGACGACCTACAGAGGATTATTTAGTTTATCCCAGCTTAATTTCTAAATGTACTCACCTGCAAGAGCGAGTGACCCATGTTCAAAGGCTTAAACCATGAGCTGCTGTACTATAGTCAAAGACAAAGTGAATCCTTAAACAATGATTGCATTCAAATAACATTAGCATTAGCAGAGTGTCAAACATCACCAATTCCTGATTATGAACCTCTAGATTAACAATTAGAGAAAAGACAATTGCTCTAAAAGTCCCTTTTCACTCATTTTAGCCTAACAGAATAGTGGAAGCGTGAAGATGTATTTCTCAAACCGTCAATCTCTCGCTGGTTGTGGCAGCCTGATGTGACCTTATAGCAAACATCCGCTGTTTTGAAAAAAGTCTATAGCTTATGGATTTCACGTCAAGAGAAAATATCTGATATTTCTTCTAACAAATCCTCACCCTTTAAATAGATTTACTGTCCAGCACAAAAAATATTTCATATTTATGCTAATAGGAAGTCCATCCATTCATTGGTTTCTGTTGGCATTTTATTACTTTCACGCAACGGAAGAAGAAGCCCTCTCTCCATACACATCTTTTCCCACTCGATCGATGTTTGTTAAAGTTGCTGACTGTGTATGGATGCTTTTCCCCACTCACAAATACCCGCTCCGACCCCAGCCCCCTTCATACGGCTGACCCTGAAGGTTAGGTTGAGGTTCCTAGCGGGATGTAGCCGCTGAAGATGGTTAAGGATTATGATGATGGTGCTAGTTCGGGCTCTATTCGCCATCAGCAAGAGAAATTATTAGAACTGCACCAGCAGAGTGTTAGCCTGACAGATGGCAACACATGGAGCTCGCTGACAGCACTGCTGACAGCGCATTCACAGAAAGTCCCCATCTAGCATGCGCTGTACACACTGTTTGTTGCCGTATGTTATCTTGTGTTTTTCTGCCATCAACAGTTGCTTATCCCTGCCTGTCAACACCAAAGTCGGCTCTCATCCCAAATTCACCGGCTTAAAATCGCAAGACCACTGCAAAGGCATCCTAGCATGGCACCAAAGGGAAGTGAGGTCTGTTAAAAACCTCGGCCTCCTAGTCACTGGTCATTTATCAACACCTGCCCTATTTTGGTAATTCATTCTTCCAGTGGTCAATAATCTTTCAGTTATTTCCCCCTCAATCAATCTATTTAGAAATGAGATCTGCGGGCATGTTAATGAATGGCCAAAAGACATAGATACATTAATTGAATGACTGAATACATTAGGAGCCGAATTGAGCGCTGCACTTTGCCTCCTCGGATAGCAATATAGAGTTATTATTAGGTTCAGTGATTGATGAAGGATGAGGAACGATTTGGCACAAACCTGTCGGTTCCACTGCCCTGGATAGAAATGAAGGGAGACGGAAACTGTCCTTGCATGAGTAGACACAAAGATCTCATCCTGTACTTCTGTTGAAATGCTTTCATTTTTTCCTTTGGTTTGTTTATCCACCAGAACAGTTTTAAAAACTCTATCCAAATGCGTCCTCAGGGGAAGCACATTTAACCTCCGAATAGCTGTAATTCTTCTCGCTGTCACTTCATGACAGCTTTCAGCTTGAAGTTTGCATGTGTGCAAATGTGTTTGTGTGCCGAGTTGTGTGTGTTTTAGACTGTGTACATACATGCATATGGATGTGAACATGGCAGTGATGTGATTGATGAGACATGCAAGAGAGCAGGGGAACATTTCCAGTCAATCAGCGCAGTGAATAACCACCTAGGCTGTGGATTAAAGGCAGAAAGCTGTCTCAACTAACAAAGGCTCACATCCATTACCTTACATGCAGAGTTGTTTTTCTCTCCGGAGCAACACTGACAACAAAATTAAAGTGTGTTAACAAAAATAGATGGTTTTGTTTTCTTGAATTCGAGAGATGAAACACAGCCACATCCAACAACTTGGGTGCATATGGAAATAAAATGCATGTGAGGTAAAACATATCTCTCTGATAGTGACCTAAACAACACTTAGGATTATGATAATGTGTGTAAAATGAAATTGGACATAACAGATTTTTTTATGTTTAATAGATTTTGTCCAGACGGTTTCAAGATTGAATTTAAATAATTCTGCCTCTTCATCTCTTATTCAATCCCAGTACTAACAGAAGTCTTTTAAGGCTATAGTCAGCAAAATTGCTATCAGTTTTGAAATTTGCAAAATATCAATTTCAAACTATAACTAGTAACACGTTTTATCCTTGCACAACTTCTGCTTTCTGTCCTGGAGAATATGTGAAAGTGAAAATAGCCCACTGTAACTAAAGTTACATTCTTCTTCTCTTTTCTGTGTCTTTTTTCCTTCAGGTCCAAGGGTTGGAGAAGCAGGTGGAGTTCTCAGACCTGCGCCCAGTGGGGTCTGTGATGAAGTCTCTCCCCTATGGCATAGGAGGAGGCACAATGGGTGGACCCTCAGGAGGAGTGGTGAAGCCTCCATACCAAACACGTATCTTCTCCACCTCCATCGACCAGACACCTATGAAAACCAAGCCACCCACCTACAGTTTCTATAACCCTTACGACCCGGCCCGGAATCAGTCCCTGCTGCTGGACCAGACAGGATACCGCTCTAAGCGCAAGCCCTCGCTAAAGACAAACATGAAGACCAAGAAGATCTTCGGCTGGGGAGACTTCTACTTCAACGTCAAGACCATGAAGTTCAGCTTGTTGGTGACAGGGAAGATCGTGGACCACATCAACGGCACGTTCACCGTTTACTTCCGCCACAACTCGTCCAGCCTTGGGAACGTGTCGGTCAGCATTGTGCCGCCCACCAAAGTTGTGGAGTTTGAGGTCCTCCACCACCAGCAGCAGCAGCACCATCAGCTACACCCTCACACTCAGCAGGAGGTCCAGATCCGGGAGACCCAGCAGTCCACCGTCAACCACAAAGGGATAAAGACCTTTAACTGTCGGGTGGAGTACGAGAAGACCAACAGATCCAAGAAGCCCAAACCCTGCCTGTATGACCCCTCTCAGACCTGCTTCACGGAGCACACCCAGTCCCACGCCGCCTGGCTTTGTGCCAAACCCTTCAAGGTCATCTGCATCTTCATCTCTTTCCTCAGCATCGACTACAAGCTGGTGCAAAAAGTGTGTCCGGACTACAACTTCCAAAGTGAGCACCCTTACCTTGGATAAGAAAGGGAGCTTGAAATGCAAAGATAAAAAGATAGAGACAATGTTAACGACAACGATGATGGTTATGATGATAATGATGGATATCATAGTCATATTGATTACGATGAAGAAGCAGGGGACAGTTTTTTGCCTCTAAACTGCTGTGAATTGTGGATTTAAATCAAGTATAATCAGAGTATTGAATGGTTAGGATATGGCTGATTTCTCTGACTTATTTTCCAACTTTGTATTTGTTAACCTCTGTTTTTATTTGCTTTTTTTCTGTAAATTTTGTATTTAACCTCAGCACACTTATTGTTTTTAGATATTTGTTTCTCAGTGTTATTACTTTTTGCAGTTGGAAAATTCGGTTGAAGACAGCTGGAACAGTGTTATGCCCTCCGAGTACAAGGGGAGCCTCTGAGGCGGCTGAGCTGTGCCACCACTGTACGGCAGAAGTAATGTTATGGTAGACTGACTGTTAATCATCCTCTCAGCTCTACTTTCCCTGGATATAAGAGTTATATGTATGAGAAATGCTATGCTGGATATGCATACAATATACTGTATGAAAAAGCACATTAAAATCTCTTAAACTGTCTGTGTTTTACTGGGTGAATGTTTTCGTTCGGAGCTTCAAGCTAAATTGCTGCACAGAAGCTGTTATCTAACCCAGAAAGCACACTATTATGTATTAAGTTACATTTCACTCTGATTGGGAATTCCTGCAGAAGCTTTCTGTGAAGATATGTCATTTTTAATTTCCGAGAACATATTGAAGAGAAGAATGTTAATTTTAACTTGAAAACCAACCGTGAAACATTCTTAAGATGATGATAATGTTTGACTCCTTTCGAATGAGTTATTGAAACCGAGGAAGGTATCATTTTTAATTACATAATAATAATAATAGATTTATTTTGTTAGCGCTTTTACAGGTGCTCAAAGTCGCTTTACTGAGATAGTGAAAAGAAAAGAACAACAAATAAATATAGTTAAAGTCAAGTTAAAATCAAGCAATACAAAAACAATCACACATAAAAAGCCAGATTGAAGAGGTGAGTTTAGAGGTTGATAACTTTAAAACGTGATTATAGGTCGTAATGAACTGGTGAACAATCAACCTATTTGGTCGTAGGAAGTGAAGGACTTGTTGCAGCAGCATTATAACTATTGATGCGTTAATTTGTGCGTCACTTCAAGGTTACGCTGAGTAAACATGTGGTTGATTTGAATGACTAGATGATACAACTAGGTGGTTTAACTTGTTATAATATCATGAACAAATTAACATTTTGTATTAATAATCTAAATCTGCAAAGTAAATAACCAAATCTGTAAAACAGTGTAGTGGATAATAAAGTAAAAGAAAATCCCCAAACATGTAGTGCAGTTAAAGTATCGAGTAGCATAATCTTAAAATACTAAAATAAGGTACAATTACCAGCAACCATTGCACAAATTAGCAAGTTGTAGCAGTGTCAAACAGATGCTTTAGGAAGCAATGCCTATATATTTATTTCATAACTTGCTGATTTGTTCATGTTTGTATTAGTGGATTTTAAAAGTGATGGATCACAGTTTACTTTTTAAAGATTTGTATGTTGTTTAAAAATGTGTCTCACAATGCATCGTGTCTTTTACCTGCTGCAAACCAAATCTACCTGTGGGTGCAAATAAATAACTTGAATCTGATATAGTTTACAGGTTTGGTGTCAACATATTTGTCTCATGTGCTTTTGTTGGTGTTGGCTTAGTTTCAACGTCAATGTCCCATAAAGAAAGAGGAACACATAAATCAGCGGAACTGGCCAATAGCAAACGGGAATCATGATGATGAAAAGGGAACAAAGCAGTGAGCTGCGTATTAATCATACTTGTGCTAACGTGTACTGCGGAGAGTGTGGTGTAATGTTAGAAACTTCACTTGTTGTTAGGTGTTTCCAGTATTTGGTTTCAACAGATTTCACGTAGTGCAAAAAGCTCTGATAGAATTAAATGTCATTAAAAAAAAAATGCTACTATATAATATTTATTGGACATTTTAAGATACAGTCATCCAAAAATATAAGTTGTACACATGACTTACCTGTAGATGTATGTCCTTTTATCTGTAAATATTGGTACGGCTTTTACCACCATACATACAGTGTGATGGAAATGACTGAGCAATGTTAGGATGTAAAATGAAAAATGCCTGCATTTTCAATTAAAGCCACTTTATAAGTAAGTTTATTGCCAATATAATTACTCCTGCTGCTGGTTGGCCTTTATATGGAATCAAAGCTTCTGTTTTTTTTTACTTAAACCTGTTAAACTATTTCAAACATTAAGGTTAAAAACAGGCAAAGCCAAAGAAAGCACCTTATAGCTTATCTTTAGATAGTTTTGTTTGCAACATATTGAAGTCAGATCATTTTATTTTACAAATCGTACAATCATTTATCCTCTATGGATATAGTTGATTTTTAATTAATGGCTGAGACAAATCAATCTCAATCCTCACAAGAAGGATAACGATATGCAAAATATCAGCTCTCCCACAAAAGAGGAAGTGTTTTTGCAATGCAACTGTTAATTCATTTGTTCACGCCTTGTGTTTGTAATCCACAGTGATATTCCACACTTTAGCTGAGTCATCTCTGACTTGTTGGGGCCATTTGGACACATTGTAAAGTCTGATGTGTGTTCAGACCGATATAGCACTCTGTATGGAGAAAATCGAGGATAAAGACAAGTTCACAAAGAGTTCAGTTTCTCCTCTCTTCTGCTCTGCGAAAAAAGCCAGTTAAAATATTCTGCTGCTTTTCAAAGCGTTTTGACTTTCTTTTCTCTTCTTAATACACATTCATTCACTACTACTTACATTTAATATCTAACTCCTTCAGCCTACTTTCAGCTACAGAAAACATTCAACTATTACATTATTCAGCTATTTCAGGACATTGAGGCTATACATTTAGTTGTTTATACCTTTTTTAAACCTTTTCTTTTAAATATTAAGCTTCTTCACTATTTTTCCTACCCTTCCAGTTTAACATTTCACTTTCAAGTTAACAACAAATTCATTGCAAAGCATTTGAGCTGTAACAATTTTTATTCAAATCATTTCACTTTTCTGCATTTCTCCGCTCAGTTCAGCAAAACACTTATTAGTTTCTGTAGCTAAAAGCAGCTACAGAGACCATTCAGCTAATAACATATTCAGCTTTTTCTGCATTTTCAGCTAAATTCAGCAACAAATGTACACAGTTTACAGCATTCACACGCATTTTCAGCAGGACATGCATTTTCTAGTTATGATTAGCTTTTTCTTCACAGACGAGAATCAGGGGAGTTTATTAGTCTAGTTTTATCAGTGTATGATGAGGCCCCTTCTGAAAAATGCTTGTAAAACACCAAGGCCCTCTGTAACAAAGAATGCTCATTTCTGAAGCTGCTCATATGCTGTCCATACATTCTCACTTACTGGGATGCCTTTTCTCCACTCATATGGTTCAAATGATGTGACGCCACCAGAGTCATCCTATATTACAGTAACTAATTAGCTTTGATGTCAAGGGTCTTGGGGTTTGTGCAGATTGTATTAAAGTCTTGTCTGATGTTATAGATATACACATAAAGTACAAATAATCAGCTACACATTATGTTGCCCGACTTTCCGCAGAAGGTGCTGTGTCAGCTCGCTACAGAAGAAGACGATGCTGCAGCGCAGGCATTAATGAAGCGAACGGGTGTACCACCTAAAGAGTACCATGTCAAAGTACTTAGGAAGGTATTTGCCTTTATTTTTATTGACTTATTTGTGCCTTTGTTGATACTTTATGTATGTAATTAAAGCAGTACTAATTCCTTCATTTCAGATGGTGTCAATGCTGCAGGAAAACATTGGGAACAGCTGCAGTTCTTTGGTCGACATTAATCAAAGGTATAACACAGAAGTAACCAAAGCTGCAACAGTTATTTTCCTAGTTGATTAATCTGCTGATTCCTTTCTTGAATAATTTTTTGGTCTATAAAAATCAAGAAATAGTGGGGGGAAAATGATCATGTTTTCAACAGCCCATTTTAAAGTGTTCACATATCTTGTTTGGCTGTCCTACAGACAAAATCAGAAAGAATTGAATCCTTACATTTACCAAGCAGACACGTTTTAGGGACTTCTTTATGAAAAATATCCACATTATAAAACTAGTGGCTGATTAACTGACTCATTGCTGCAGCTCCACTAGAATCAAGCTTCTACTAATGAAAAAGTCTTCCCCACTTACGTTATTGCTGGCATGCAGAGTGGTATGCAATTTGTCAGAATTAAAGTAAAATCTGAACATAATAAGATTTGTATTTACTTGCACTATTTTATATGTTTTATTATGTTGCACTGTTGGAGGAGCCTGTGAGCTAAGATTTTCATTGACATAACTACACTAGCTATGTACAAATGACAATAAAAGCCTTGAATCTTGAGATGATATGACACTTTTTTTTTCTTTGCAGGTCATTGATTAGAATTTCAGATAATGCAGATTTTGTCTCGGTGCAGGTGTTCGTGTGACAACCTTCTGGCAGCGTCAGAGGCTTGTGTCCCCCTGGTCTCTCTCCCCGAGGCGGCTCCTCTCATCAGAGCTCTGTTGCAGCAGCCAGCAACTTGTGTCAGGGCAGCACTCAGTCAAGACTTCCTGGACGCTCTGACCTCTGCCTACTCCAGGTAGGGAGTTCCTGCTGTAAAACCATTTTTTTTTCATTTACTGTATTAGATGAATCCTTTTTGGAATATTTCAGATGTTATATAATTAGGTGCTGTTTTCTTTCAGTAAATGCGTGTTATTGGAGGAGCAGGAAGTAGTCTCGATGTGGTATCATAGCCTGTCCAGTCTGGAGGAGGCAGTGCTCAGTTTTCTGGAGTGTGTTCTCCCCAACACAGGTTACACACCACAGGAGCTGAAGCGGCAACTGGCACAATCCTTGCTGGTGGGTACTTTTTTTGTTATGAGGACTCAAAATCCTAACTTAAAAACCATAAAGGCATGCGTTTCTGTGATAGATGTGATCTGATTTGCCCAAAACATGTTTCAATTATGATACTGATTTTGTTTAGGGCTACAATTGTTTTTCTTATTAATAAATCTCCTGAGTATAAATGGCCAGACGGTGTCAGATATTGCTGCATCATGATTTACCAGAGCATGAGGCGACATCTTGAAATAGCATGTTTTGTTCAACAGTCCATAAGCAAAATATATTCAGTTTGCAATGAAATGAAAAAGACATGAAAGTGAATTACTCTGTTGAGAAACTGGATCTCGTTTATTGTTAGACATTTTTGCTGGGGTGAAAAAATACTGATGAATACATGTTATTAATAGTCTCCCACTTATCATGATAATGGTGGATGAAATAGGTGAAATGTTCGATTCTTTTTCAAATCTGGTTTTTACAAGTGCTTTCTAGGTAAGTGTGTAGTGGAACCCAAGATTTAAAGTATATTTTTGACCTTTTTTTCCTCCAACATCGTTGTGGAAAGGAGTTGGTTTTTGAGAGCCAGGCAAAAGACCAAAGTATACTGAAAGGTTTTTGTGGACCTGGAATTGTTATTTGATCGTGAGAGTGCTTCTTAAGCATATCATCAACTTGTGATACTACTGTCGAGTAACCAATGATGTTCTAGTTTGATCTTCACAGTTAGAGTTGGAGAGAAATGTGTAGATTATTATGTCATTGTGCTGTGGCATTTTCTGCTGCATGAATTAGCGGCATTGTTCGTAAATTGGTGACATATTGCTGTTGTTAAATGGGTTTGTTATTTACATAGTTTGACTAATCTGCCCTGCATTACAGAGTCTCACATCAGAAATCACTCCACACTCCATGTGTTTTTAGCTCCATATTGAACTGCTCTGTAAACTGTGAAACCAAACAGCTTGAATATAAGGCCTGCTCATTTATTTTGAGGTATGGCATTTGTAATGTTTTTGTATGCATAGTTCTTGGAAGCGTTCCATTGTTTTTTTTCGGTGGATCTTTATCGACTGTTTTTGCCTGGCTAACTCACGCCATTTGGCTAAGCTCTGCATGCATCTCACATCATTTGGCTAGCTCTAAACGGCATATCACATCATTTGGCCTGGGCTACGCAGCTTTACTGTGCTGGGTAAGTACCGAACTCTCTGTCACTGGAGACCTTGGCCTACTTACTTTATATAACTTAAAACCATGCCTTGTTCAAAAGTAACAAGTGATTTCTCATTTATAGGTTGTTATGGTGTTGTTCAAGATAATGTCCTCATTACTACAATGCAATCAGAAAATACCAGCAGTGTTTTGTGTTCTTTTAACTTGGCCTCCAGTGGCTGCTTTTTATCCCATAATATTTTGGAACATGCTCATAGACATATAATCGCACAGACATATTATGCAGCCAGTCTGAGAAGCAAGGATGACAATGAAATGATTACATGTGTCCAGGGTTGGGAGGGTTACTTTGTAAATGTAATCAGTTACTGATTACTGAATACATGGCTCTGAAAGTAATCCGAATACAGTTACGCGTCTTAAAAAAGTAATCAGATTACTTTTGGATTACTTTCTTTTTCCATCACAGATGGTATGTTTTGGTGAACAGGAGACACAAAAAGCAAAAGGAAACTGAACGTGTTTTTACTGTTTTAATGGCTTATCAAGAGCACAACTGAAACATAACATCTGAAACGATGCAACAACATAATCAACTTTTTGGGGATGCAGCTTGGGATGTGAGGAGTGAGGGACACGGCTTAGAACGGGCGTGTCGCCTTCTGTCCTGCCAGTGTTGGCAGGACATGAATTAAAATGTCGAACTCGGACTTCATTTTAAGGACATGTCGGCCAGGGGTGTAGAGCTATATTTGTTTAACCACCGGATTGGCAAAACAGGAGAGTGTGTGCACCAGTCTGCCTTGATCTATGAATTCATGTCCGTGACACTCACAGTATCTGCTGCCCACAGCTGTTTTAGAGAAGGAAAACCTCCTTCACTTCATGAAATCTCTGCAGCACCAGGAGGCAGCGGGATGGTTAACTCAGCCTCTGAGAAGAGGAGCGCGCAGTGCCTTTCACGCACCGCCTTCGCTGTGTTTACCTTCAGAATCATAAGGCTAAAGGGCGACCGCAGGCTGATGTGTTTTAACCACACACACCTCTACACA